TTGATATCATCATAGACTGATTCCGTAACATGAGTGAAGTATACAGACAATTCTTTGTTAGCTTCATAAAACGTAGTATGATCACATGTAAACATGTAACTGAAGTATAAATCTGTCCATGAGAACAAAGAAATGTACTCATCCCTCATCTCATTCTTCAGTGACCAACAATGCTTACAATTCCTTTCCTTGTAGAGTGTCTCCCATATCTCATCCATTAATATATCAGCAGTAACTGATGTACCTTCCAACTTATGTACATCTACTGCTGGTAGAAGGAGGAGGAGTTTGATACGAATAGAACGAGGTAGTAATGCTAGTCCAGGAATAGGTTTATCATCATCATCAAACAAGTTACCTATTAAATACAGGAGACACTGGATCAGAAGAGGAACTGGGAGAGAATCCATCAATAGACTGTTACTATCTAGTGATTGAATGAGTTACAGTTCCTGATCAGTTGGTAGATTATTTGTTGGTAACTTGTTGAGTGGTGACACTGTGATGTCTTTGAATAAGGAACCTAATCTTTATATAGTAGTACTCTTGTGATGTCAGTAATGTATTGCACAACAGGTGTTAACCCATGACATGAAGTTATAATCATTGGCTTGTTATAAGTGTTACTGTCAGTGTCAGTGGTTTGCTAGAACAAGTTATGATGTTAATTGTTATTCATGTCTTGCATAATTATAAGTGTTAACCAATGGTCAGTGGCATGTTACAGCAAGTATAAAATTGCCTGTATGAAGCTTAACAAAATTTAAAGAGATGCATGTATCTATATTGTACACTGTCCATTTGAGTAGGTATGTGTAAGCATACATGCATTCACATATGTATGTGTATACATACCCTGCATACACAGATCTTCATTACACTGCATTACTAGTAAAAATTGACTCTGCCTAAAATTATGCCTTTTTAACCAATAAGCTGTATTTTGTATTTTACAATAATAAATGTACACTACACATAAGTGTTATAAGTGTTGTCATTGTCAGTGGAATGCTACAAGTGCAAGTTTGTCTACCAAATGAAGCTCATTTCACCAATCATTCCTCCACCAAATTTATAGTGTGTTAGCATAGAAAATACCTTTTTGCATGTATAGCAACCATTTTTCTATAAACTATAAAACTACATTTACTGTATATGTATTTGAGGATAGGTACGTGTATATGCATACTTGTGTATACATACATTATATGATTATGTAGATCTACATTACAATACATTACTAGTAAAAAGTAACTCTGCTTATAATATTTGGCCATTTCAACCAATTAACTGTATTTTGTGTTTTTACAATAATGAATGTACACTACCCAACTCTTTGCCATGAATTTGTTTGCAGATTAAAGTAACCACAAAGTTACATTGTGTTTTATTGTGAATATTTAAGAGTTTTTCTCTGTCTTTTTCATTTATTATTTAATGAACTGTTTCTATTTCTACACAGAAGTATGTGCTGTATCACGTCATCATGTTCAAAGAAAGAAATTGAAAGATGCTTTAAACTTATTCGACGGTCAAGCAGCAAACCCAGCAATGAATACTGTATCAACTACAAAAGCATGATTAGTGAGTATATTGAGGAAGTATAGGTTTGAAAGCGGATCATCTGATACTGAGGTTGGTTATAGATGATCTTGTTCATCATTGAAATACTTTCATGCATAATTTATTTTTATTTTTGTAGATACAATTAAAAAGAAACAAGGTTTTACTCAGTCTCCAAAAGATTGTTTTCTAAGAATGACTCCCTAATAAAATCAGTTGGAATTAAATTTTATTTTTATTTTCGGGTAGTTTACAAGCATAATATTATTTTGAAATTTTTTTGCAAAATAATAATAAGTTTCTGTAATTTTTATTAGATCAATCTCAAGGGCGTGGTGTAGGTGTGGTTAGCCCTGCCTTAAAACCACGTGGAGTCATCATGAGAATTTTTTATACTCTTGAACCTGGATTCCCTATTGTCGACACGAGATAAGGGAGCTTCTGATTGGCTGAAGGTGTTTAGTTGCTCCTAGTGAGTCAGAGAGTTGTCCCTGAGGATAATGGATTTCATGCTTACCTCAATGGACTTTCTTAGTGTGGTGTTGTCCTCGGAGAGACTAGTTAGAGAGAGAATAGTATACATATACTTTTGTT